TGGACGTAGAGGTCAAAAATAGGATTTCTCATAATAGTGTTGTTTAATACCATACATTTTATATAAAGTATGAGGTACAATAGGTCCTATAGCTGCCATTTAATACAGTCTCCTGAATAATAATATAGTAATCTTAGTATTATGTCCAAGAATTCATTTATCCAACAAATATTTGAACTCTTGCTCTGAGCCAGAAACTTTTCTGGGTACTAAGCATACAGACATGGTCCCTGCCTCAAGGACCTTGCCTCCTTGTAGGGAGGGAGAGAGAGAGAGATGTTAGCAAACACCGAGACCACTTCTTTGACAGGGACGACAGTGGAAAATTGTACAGGGTAGAGAGTAAACAAGGGTCCTATGGTGTGAATGTCCCCCCAGGCTCATTTTGGAGCTTACTTTCCTATATGGTATTTGAAAGGTAGGGCCTTTAAGATTTTATTGGATTGTGAGGGTTTAATCCATTCATGGATTAATGGGTTAATGGATGAATGTGTTATTACGGGAATGGCACTAGTGGCTTTAAAAGAACAGCAAGTGAGCATGTTAACATGCTCAGCCCTTTTGTCATGTGATACACTGAGTCACCATGGGACTCTATGGAGAGTCCCCACCAAGAAGAAGACTCCCACCAGATGCACCCCCTCAACCTTGGACTTCTCAGCCTCCAAACTTAAGTAAATTTATGTTCTTTATAAATTACCCAGTTTCAGGTATTCTAAGTAACAGAAAACAGACTAATACACAAGGGAAACCAGTAATTGAGCAAGGGGACAGCAAAATGAAGTATTTCTAGAAAAGATTTGAGGAGCAAGAGTATACTTGAACTCAATCATGGAAATCATTATGACTGTACCACAGGCAACAGAAATGAGTCCAACAGGTAATTTTAGGACAGATCTTGGAGGGCTTTCATAGCATGCTAAGGCTTTTGGAGTTTGTCATGATGACTCACTAAAGGATTATAATTTTTAGGAGTGACTTTATTAGTTTTATATTTTAGCAAGTCCCTCTGCTTGAGATTTTGAGAAGATGGATTGGCAAAGAGAAAATTAGGAGCCTAAAGACCAGTTAGTGTTGCGGAAAAGTCGCCAAAGGAAACTCAGACACTTGGAGAAATGGAGAAGTCAGGCAATTTATTATGCTAGCAGTCTCAGGGGAACTACCGTTCCAAAAACCTGAGCCCTGAATGCAGGGAGAACTGGAGTTATATACCTTTCTTGCGCGAGCAAGCAAGCAAGCTTGTCTATTGGCTCTCCGTCTGTATCCAGGCAGAGCCACCCAAATTGGGGTCTTCACCAGGTAGTTAAAAGTGGGTAAGGGGCTTTGGGTAGGGGACTTCCCCAGGTGGGCAAACTGGGTTGTGGAGACAGGGGATGTGGTTAGAGGGCTTTCTGCAATGTGAGCTAGAGAGCAACTCCGTGTCTCATCCACACAGGAAATGGTGACAGGCGGAGGTTCAGCTCAGTCTCTCACTCACACAGGAAGGTCAAAAACTGACAGCCTTGCAAACCACAGAGCTATAGAGTTTAGAAATGCATTCAGCTGTTAACCCTTAACACAACTCTAAATATTTCTTAGAAGCAAGCGTATTTTAACAGTAAAACTAAAATAAGGATTAAAACAAGGAAAGGACAAGGCATTTGCTACTATATTAGGTTATTGCATTAGTTAGGACAGGAGAAGAGAGGGGTGGTCTAGGACAACACAGTGGTGATGAACAGAGGAAGGGGCATATGAGAAAGGTACTAGGGCTATAAAATACTCAGCTCTTGGATGTAGGAAGTGAGGAAAAGGCCTGTGGTACAACTTCCGTGTTGCTGGTGTAGAAATTAGGTGGATGATCTTTATTTTCACTCTGAGGATGGAAATTCAAGAAGAAAAGCCAGTTTATTTAACAAGACAGGGAATCCAGTGCTTATCAAATGTATCAAAAAGAGAGCTGTTGCTAGAACTACATTTGAGTCAACTGCTACTTAATCTTAGAATCATTATAACATTTAATAACAACATTGAATGTTGTTCTCTTTATACGCTTCTTCATTTTGAGAAACTGACTATGACTTCATTACCACCATACCTAACCTTTACATGTATAATAAAGTGGAATTTGAATTGATGAGGTAGAGTGCTTATTTGTAGATGTAATAATCATTTGTTACATAAGCATGTGTTTTGATCTTTGTGTAATTAAAAATAATGACAATGCTTCATAGTACCCATTGAGATGAAGGGCCTAGGTTCTTTATATTTTTTAGTAATAGGCCATATAAATTAAAGCTTAGGCATATTGTCTCACTTAATGTAAAACTTTTCATCTTTCAATAAAGATTATGTTATAAGCACATTTAATATTTTTACAGTGTTAATTCATTTTTCCTGTTATTGAATGTAATAATTTTGCTCAACCTCTTGTATATACAGAGAGAGAGAGAAAGAAAGAGTTTTTTTCTGAATTTTAATTCTGAAAACATATAATGCATCTAAGATATTGCATAATGTGTTTGTCATTTGTGAGATTTTTTGTTACCTAAAACAATCTACTTCATTGCTAGGTCTTAGAAGATGGTGATGTTAGGTTAAACAGATGGTTGAGTGGGTAGATGAATGGAAAGAATGGATAGATGTACAGACACAACAGTTTATGGTAACCTACACAGAAGAATGATTGTATTATAAAGTATAGAGGTTAACATGGGGCTTTGGTATCAAATCCTGCTTCTACTGCCTAATGACTAAATGACCTTATGCAAGTGTCCTAAACTCTCATGCCTCAATTTCCTTATTGATTGTGATGATTAAATGAGAGAATGCACATATAGGACTTAAGCATAGTGTTTGACACTCCAAGCATGCTAGTGAGGAGGAGGAGGAGGAAGTGAAGGAGAGCTCTTAAGTAGAGATCCAATAAATTCAGATTTAAGTATATATTTTTAATTTGCCTACCATGAAGATTTAAGTCATTTGAGTGAGAATATTTCATCCTTAAGGTTTAGCATCCTCATTTAGGTGGTATTTGGTAAAAGTAACTGAATTACATGATTTATTACCTTGTAGCTCTATGATTGGATCTCCAGGAATAAATAAAGCTCCTTTCAGTGTGTTAATGAAAATATCATTAAGATAACATTAGTCTCATAAATAAGACATTTACCACTAAAGATGATTATTATTCCCACTTTAATGGGAAATCTTTTAGTGTGTAAATAAGCCAGAAAAGATTATTTAACCACAAAAAATACAAAACCATGTAAATTAGAGAAAGAAAAAAATCAGTGTTGTATTTCCTTCTGTATTTAGAATTGCTTCCTATGCCACTTTCATGTGTCTGTAGTTGCTCAGCCTCTGACAGATTTCAGGATCACATACAGTAATATATCTGGGGCATCTTTATATACATGTCACCATGGTAGATGTCATATGCTTTGCCCAAGTTTTAAAATACTGTTTAGGCTTTCAGGATATTTTTGCCTGAAGAAGATAATGCAGGAAATTATCATAGTTAGCTGAGTATTTTATAAGATGATACTATTGGAGTTGCTACTAATTAGATTTAGTAACTATCAGCATATACAGCTATTCGAATCTGTAAAAGTGAAGATTACTGAGAGACTTTTCCCCATCCTCCACCTCTGCCACCCCAGTCAAAGCCACCATCATCCTTTACCTAGTTTATGGCAGTAGCGAACTGAGCACTAATATTTTTCTCTGCTTCCACCCTTGGCCGCCTACTCCATTTTCCACACGAGTCAAGTCATATCACATCACTTCTCTGCTTAATAATAAAAATAATAAGGCTTCCCATTGCACCCAATAAAACTTCCACTCCTCAACATGTCCTAGGTTCTGGACCCCACCATGGACTACTTTTCCTCCTCCCTTACTCCAGCTACTCTGGCCTTCTTGTTTTTCTAGAAGGAACCCAGTTTATTCCTCCCCCAAACTTTTGTACTAGCTGTTCCCTCTACTTGGAAACCTTTCCACCTTCCACCAAATCTTCCATGAAAGTCTCTTTAGATTCAACCAAATACCATCTCTTCAGAAATACCTTTCCTGACCACAGAATATATTTTTAAATCAGCACATTTTCACTTTAAGGATCATTTTGAAAAGTCATAACTGGGTTTGGGATATATTTCCTTGGAGAAATATTTAAAATCTATAGCACTCTCATCCAAAAAACCACAACTTCTTTACTACATTACTTAGAATTTGCCTAGATATTCTCTATTATTTCATGGTGCAATTTAGGCACATACTGACCTGTGTTTTAATGAAATTGTATTCTGTGCAGAAAAAGCATCCATCTCCTGAGGGAGGTGGTGCACCTTGCCCAGCAGTCTTGTCTTAATAGCACAAATTCTAAGACTTCTACAGCTGTTTTAGGTGGGATGTTCTATACTATAATCCATTCAAGACAAAAGGGAAAACTGAGAAATGTATGTGATGTGCTGACTGTTTTTAAATACAGACGTGCAAAATTGGATGTCAGAAAACCCACAGATAACTAAAATGTTTAAGAATAAATAGATATTCCCAAAGCCATAGCGACTCTCCTAGTGAACTAAACAAGTGTAGCTCTTAGAAGTAATTAAGCTTACCTCTTAGAATTGAATAGGCTTAGTTCTTCTGTGATACACAGCATAGCACAGGGATTATAACTGTCTGCTTAATTGCTGTATTTACATGTGTCAGGACCTTTGGGGAGCCAGCAGCAGTCATGTGCCTATGTATTAAACCACTTAGAAAGTAAAAACATACCATCTGTCATTAAAATTTATAGAGATATAATCTATTTGTGTTCTGACAGCCATATACAGGAAGCCAATTATACTTTTCAATCAATTTCCATGATGCGTTATTCCATATGGAGAGCAGGATCCATTCTGTATTTTATCAGTTCTTCTTGGTCAGACTCTTTCAGGAGAAGTTTATTTGCCCATATTTTCCAAATGCCTGATGTTATCCCTCTGACAAATGCTGTTTCTGCTTGGCTATTTCAGCACTTTTGTGTAATGGAAAATTTCACAAACACTTGCAAGAAATCTTTGTGCCCTTGGTTGTCCGCTACGTCGATCTCATGGAGTCCTCCATCGCCCAGTCCATTCACAGAGGCTTTGAGCAAGAGACATGGCAGCCTGTCAAGTAGGTATCTTACCTAGTGTCCATCCAGCATCCGCCTCTTCACTCCTGACCTTGTGATTTTACACATGGCCATCTGTAGTTATTGCTTATGGTGGTCCCTTCCCACGTTGTTTGTTTCTTTACAGGAATATCGCCAACAGTCTTCCCAATGTAGCTCTTCCAAAAGTTCCAAGTCTGCCTCTTAATCTTCCACAGATTCCTAGTCTTTCTACTCCTTCGTGGATGGCTTCTTTATATGAGTCCACGTGTGTATTCCTCACTTATTTCCTGGTGGTGTGCTAACTAGTGCATGGCCTGGGCTGTGTTCTGTGCAGACGTGTTTAGATTGCATGGCATTTATCATCATTGGTTGAGGAATACTATGTTTTTGGTTTTATTTGTTTGAGTTTTTAAGCTATTAAGCCAAGCTTAGCATATCGATGGTAAATGATGTGGATTAAAAAGAAAAAACGCTGATATGATGTAGTTTATATGTAATCTGTGGGGCAGGGGTCATTTTGCAACCCAGGTTGTAGACTCAACTCAGTGATATAACCAGAGTTCTCCTTATATAGACCATCAGTGAAGTAAACAGTAATTTGAGGATTCTTTGTCGGCTCCAGATTCATGACTGCCCACATGACTGACTTTGTGCATGTAGAAAAGCACTGTAAGAACAGTTTCAAGAATATAATCTTTTTCTATTTTTATCTTAGTCTCATCATTAAAGAAACTTTGAAGGGAAGGGGTTGTTCTTTACATCCCAACACTAGGAAGTTCTTCTTTTGTTCCTTTCATATATCAGTTGTGCACCTTGTTATTTCAAAATAATCTTTATATCATTAGAAACCATAATTATTAACTCCACATTATGAGGAGCCTTCCTAATGCAGATTCAGTAACAAAGTCATTAAAGTGAGAAGGCGTGGGCTTTGAAATTGGTTTGGTTTAAATTTAGATCTTAGTGTATTAATTATAAATCTTTCTTAGACTCAGTTTCCTCAGCTCTAAAATGGTTATGACACGTAACTTAAAGACATTAAAGAAACTACACAAAAGTACCTGGCACATCCTAGGATCTCAATAAATGACTACTACTATTGGCATATCGTAGATGCCCAATAAATAATTATTACAGTTCTCTACATTGTTATTGTTATTGTTATTGTTATCACTATCATCAATCATCATCATTATTATATATAACTGTATAGTTTATAAAAGTATGAGCCTCCAGTAATCAGATGAACTGTGTGATAGTCCTGTTTTACAAGCAGGAAAGCTCAGACTGGCAGTTACATGCTTGGCTCAATATCTCATATGAAGTCAGCTAGAAAGAATAATAATTGGAGAAAAATAGTTTCCATTTATTAAAAATTTCCATGTACCAGTTGCAATACCAAGTTATTTATCTTATTTAATTTTTATGACATGCCTGTGAGTTAAGCATCATTCTCATTTTACAGTTAAGGAAACAGAGTCACAAAGAAGTTAATAAATGAAATTTGTTCAGTGTCTCATAGCAAGTAAGTGAAAGGCAAAATTTGAACCCAGGTTTACTTGACTACAGAGACCTCACTGCTATCGTTAATTTATTCTCCTTCTAGAAAAAGTACTGGTTAGGAACTTGCTAGCTTTCTACCTGTGCCAACACCAACTGTCAGATCTATACACGGGCCGGCCCCGTGGCGCACTCGGGAGAGTGCAGCGACGCTCCCGCCACGGGTTCGGATCCTATATAGGACTGGCCGGTGCGCTCACTGGCTGAGCACGGTGCGGGCGACACCACACCAAGGGTTGTGATCCCCTTACCAGTCACGAAAAAGACAAAAAAAAAAAAGATCTATACACAGTCAAGCATAAAATCAAGAAAAGAGAGAGGAAAAGATCAAGAAAGAACAATAACTTGCAAAATAATTTGGCAGTATTTCTCCAAGTTAAACATCATCGCTGTACACATAAGGATTACTAGGATGTTATGTTACATGTGAACCTTTTTCTTACAGGCAAATGCTTTAGGCTGTTATAGTGTGTAGAGTGGTGTCTGTGTGTGTTCAGGAACTACCTAGGAAGTATAATGAACCTTTCTAAGTTTATGATTTTTCAAACTTCTTTATACTGTTTTATTATTTAACACCTCTTCTGTCTCATTTCTCATCTATTTAACACCCTTGATTTTAACCAAGAACACTATTGTGGGCAGTATCCTGTGAAATTTAGTTTTTTGTTATTTTGTTAGCTTTGAGATTTGGGGGAACCATGAATCTCTTATCATTGAGGACACTTTTTAAAAATGGTCTGAATCTTGGAACAGGAATCATGACACATTGGAGCTTAGTAAATAAAGCAATTGTGCTTTCACCACTCTGGGCAAATAAAAAAAAATGTGTTTACAAGTTGTTCACCATTATTTTTACCTGCCAACGTCATCAACATTAGTTCTTTGTTGAGGTTCCCAGAATTACTTATAATGTTATGAAGTTATTACAATTCACTTTTTGAAGTTTTATTGTAAAACATTAAATAACCTAAGGAATTAAAAATACAATTACTGATTAAATAAAAAGAACATAAAAGTAACCATGGATTTGAAGATACATCCCTACCTACTAATGCATCAATCATGTTTAGAGGCGCTCCTCCATATCTCTTTCTGTATGTACTGGGATTTTTAGCTCTAGAAATGGATGCCAGTAAGGTAAGTTTCCTGCTGGCATTTTTAGGAAATTATCTGAGTCCATTATTCACATTTGGATTCTCTAATCTGTTAATAATACTTTTAGGAATAGGTTACTGAATAGAAATAATCATAAAATGAAAAAGCACTGAAGAAATTGCAGGCTTTATGTACCAAATCTAGAGAAAAGCTATTTACTTTTTTAAAAAAATCTTTCATTATAGCAAAGACTTGTTATCTTAATTACATTCCCAATTAAGCATTTATCATCTAGACTCTTACCATAGAATCTCACCATAGCTTCAAACAGAAGGAAAATATATCCATATTCTTTATAAAGATGTAATTGTCACATTTTATGAGCAAGTTTTTAACAGGATTATGCCTTTAATAATTGAGATTTCATTCTAATGATGGTCTTTGTTATCATTGTGTTTTTAAAGGATACTTGCTTTAAATAGTTTTATTTCTCCAAAGTAAAAAATTATGAGTAGATTTGCTTCTTTGCCAATTATATGCAATTACTCTTAAAGTATCAGTGCTTCAATCTTCCAAACTGTGCACTGTGGATATGTAGGAGGATTTTTCTTGGCCATTTTTTTTTTCCTGTTTTTATTCTGCACATGACACAAGGAGAAGTGAAGTAGTGTTTTTTCTAACATTTTTCACAGCAATGTCGCCATGGTGTTGTCTGGTTGTTTTGTTTAATGGTACTGGTACGTTTGGGGCATTGAATATTAAGGTGAGGAGATACTACGTGAGTGAAGTGCTGTGGGCAGTGTTCAGTGCTCTGCTCTGCTGTAATTGGTCGCATGGGAACTTGACTCAGAGGACATCTTGGCTAGACAAGGAGATCATGAGGAATTACTGATAGCATGGCAGGAGGAAAGCAAAGCAGATTCATGATGGAGCTGAGACACCAAGGCCAGGTAGAGGGAGGAAATAAGCTTTTAATTAGCCAGAGCAAGAGGTGTTTTTATTTTGTGTGTGTGTGTGTGTGTGTGTGTGTGTGTGTGTGTGTGTGTGTGTTTTAAGATAGCTAATTACTCTATATTTAGCTAAACAATGTGGTTATTTAAAACAATTTTATTTTTTATAAAAATTTTCCATTGTGCCCTCACGATAATTGAGTTTATTCCTTTAATTTTCTTCTGCAAACTAAAAATATAAATTCCAGGTTAGTATGTGAGAAGCAATTGTTGGAAAACTGAGGACACAAATCATAGAGCAGGGTTTTTTTTCTTTTTCTTTTGTTATCTTTTACAGTTAAGTTTTAATATGTTTTAATGTAGGAATATTTTACTTTCAAGGTATCTGTTTCCTTGTTAGCCTACATACTTGCATAATGGGAAGTAACGGCATTATCCTTTGTCAAAATATTATACGTACTCTCCTACAAATTACCATCATATATGGTGTGAAAATACCATCCCCTAGAGTAATTTTACTACAGTAGTGAATGCATAGCAAATCTTGGCTCCACAGTTAGGTATAAGGATCTGACATACATGACCCTACATGATTTTGCTCCAACTTCAAAGCACCCTGAACTTCATTTCTCTGTTAGACCATACCTTGTCATAAGTTGGGTTTTAATTATGATCTAGAAGAGGCACAAAGCATTTCAAAATTTAAATAAGGAATTACTTCTCTACCTAGCCGGTTATTTTATTTCTAGTACCTGTTTCATGTTTGCCTGTAATTGAGATATTTAAGGGCCCTATATGCTACACACCTGTAGACAGAAACCATCATGATGACAGAGGCACATGTGCATAAGTAGAAGAGTAAAGCCACTAGTTACTGCCATATGTATTTTCTTGCAAAAAATATACTTTTGGAATTTCTAGGAGAAAATATCTACGTATTGATCTTTATTCTAGAGATTGGTAAAGAAGATTTAAAATGTTTGTTCTTATGGACACAATTTGATTTTCTTTTCCTTAGTGAAGTATCTTTATTCATTATAAACCTTTTTACGAAATCTTACTACTATATTTATTTCTACTTTGTTCTCTTTGCCTTGCCTTATTAAGAAGTGAAAAGGAAGAATTAGAAGGCTGAACAAAGAAAATATTGGATCATTAGAGATTTTGCGTGGTATTTTTTTTCACTGGTGGCAATTGACACAGAAAAGAAAACCCAATGTGTTGGTGGTCCTCACAGTTAACAGCGAAGTTCATGACGTTCTTCATTTTTCCTTTTTCTTCTAGCAATGGCTCAGCCACATCAGAAGACCTTTTCTGGAAACTCGATGCACTGCAAATGTTTGTCTTTGATCTACACTGGCCAGAACAAGAATTTGCCCACCACTTAGAACAAAGACTTAAACTAATGGCCAGTGATATGATAGAGGCCTGTGTCAAAAGGTAGACATGTATTTTCAAGTTGCTGCTTAATATGCCAGCACCCAGAATACCGCTTTTCACCAAGTACCTGTTATACAGTTGTCATGGGAAAGGTTTCAATATATGTACTACTATTCCAAAAGATAATGAGCATTAGGTTCTCTGACCTAAATTCTGGGGACTCATGTAGTTGGTGAAATAGACCTGATGCTTTTCTTCAGGTCTCTCAACCATTGCCTTCATCAGTAGCACCCACACCATATTAATCATTTCTCTTATGCTTATGGTTATCTCTCTGGGAATACTGTGCTTTGATTCCCAAGGTAATATCTCCTGAGACATATGGGAAAGGTCTGTTACGTTCTTTATGCACTATGTACTGTGTCTGTGTGCTGTGAAATGGCATGGCAAACTCAAAATACGATCAGCACCATCGGTTGTTCTGGGATTACTCACTATTGTCTGATACTTTCTGTCCATATTAGATGAGTTCCAAGTATCTATCTACATGCTTTATAACTGAAGCAGGCACAGTTATGAGGCTTCGGAGTCCTCCAAATGTGCTTTCATGTTTTTAAAATAGTTTTTACAAAACCAGCATTGCATCCTCCTAATTAGCCAAGTGGTGTTTTTTCATTGGCCTTGTTCGTGATATTTACAAGAACAACGTGGGGCAGCATATGGACTTAACAGTCAAATACTGGTTGGAGTAATTGAATATTCTTTAATTCTTTAAACCAGGAAGAATCCTGTCCTTAGAATAATGTTCAGTGACCCTCTAAAACAAGACTATGAATTGGACTATTTAATGTTTTTAAAAAATCATCTGTGATTCTGATGTCTCAAATCTGTGGATGTTCTGTGAATACTTTAGCATAACCAATTCCAAATTGTCTGTTATGCAGTTTCTTTCAAAAACCTGTCTGCAACTTCAGATATTTGAGAGCGCAAAGTGAATTAAAAGAATTACGCACTCTCTGTTGTACAATTGTCCTCTTTTAGAGTTCTCCAGACTTGTGCTTTATTTATTTATTTATTTATTATTTGGTAAGCCCTGAAATGGAGGAATTTGTTCTCGTTTAATGTAGAGAGGTGTGTGATTTTTCTACTTGGAAATTAACTCAGACTGTTAAGTGAAACTATGAGGTTTTTCCATTAAATGTAACAGATATACTAGATATAACAAAAAGCTTCATTTGGGTAACAATATTGTCTGAGTGACTGCATAACACTAGGTTTAATATAAAATATCACAGTCTAATCTTTCACTTCAGACACCTGAAAAGAAGAGCATTCTACCCCCTCCCTAGCTCCCAAGCACTGCCACACTGCCCAGTCCTTATTTGCATGTTTTAAATTAGCATCTCGTAGTGCTGATTTCACTTTTACAGAGCAGGTGGAATGTATGTCAGAATTTCTTACTCTGAATTCATGTTTTAATAACTAGAACAAGAACTGCATTTGAACTCAAGCTGCAAAAGGCAAGCAAAACAACTGACTTACGCATTCCAGCTTCCGTGTGTACAATGTTTAATGTATTGGTTGATGCCAAAAAGCAAAGCACCAAACTCTGTGCCCTGGATGGAGGACAAGAGGTAAGTGGAGTATGTTCCGCATGTGGAAATGCAACACAGGGTGCCCTGGCAGGGGAGGGTGCTTTTCCAAAAGGCTCTCCCCTGATTGGATTCACAAAAGCCAAATTCTCCAACACCAAATACTTGACATATATTTTTTTACTATAATAACAGAATGCCCTTTATCCTCTGCTCATGTCAGTTTCTCCTTTTTTGTATAAATACTGCCTAAAATTTTACAAGTGGCCATTGAATTTCAGATATACCTTTTAACGGCTTAGGTGTTGCATATTTACATAAACCTTGCTTTTTACAAGCAAATGAGAAAGCTAGAAAGCAACCTGCTTTGTTTATACAAATCTAGAGTGTCCAGAGTTTGCATCCATAAAGGCAAGCCACACACAAAAAATAACGTATGAAATACTCTCTTTATACAAGTTTCCATTTTTTAAAGATCAAGCCGAAACATACTTAAAAACTAGACCTAGTTCTTATGAGTAAATATTCCATTGTTTAAATTTGATTTGTATTTTGTTTGGTTTTATATTCAGAAATATGACTTCATTTTACCCCATGATTTATTCTTGTTGAAAGTGGTGATTGGGTGAAAATGAATTTATTTTTCTTAGATATTTATTGAAATTGATATTTTGTTGTCTTTTTACCCATTGTAATTACTTTTCATCATTTCTTTATGTTCTCTTTCATCATCTTTTTTTTTCCCCCATGGTATGATCCAGTTTGGTAGTCAATGGGTAAGTCTCATTTTTTTTTTTTTGGTTTTTTTTTGGTAAAAGCACATTTTCATTTCAATTATTATTTTTGTAAATGTAGGTTTTTTATTTTTCTTTTCAAATTAAAATAATTTAATTTTATTTTCAGGGTTTTTGGCTTCTGTGTGTGTATATATAAGCTAATAGCTTACTATAACATAGCAAGAGCCCAAAGACTCATTAAGATGATACCAAAGGAGAGGGTTTGGGGAGATCACATAGCTGACCTCAACCCACCCCATCCTCTACCAAGTTCTTGACTCCACCACAGGAAAGAATTCAAGAACAGTCATGGTAGAAAGTGAAAACAGGTTTAATGAAAAGAATAAGAAGTACAGACTTCACAGGGAAAGTGTAGACTGGCCCCAGAGAATGAGCAGCTGTCTCAGCAAGTTTAATACAAAGGTAAAAAATACATACTTTACAGACAAAGTGCAAGTTGGCTCCAAAGTGAATGGCAGCCTGCTAAATGCAAGTTTAACTCAAAAACTAAGAAATACACACCTCACAGGAAAATGAGGGCTGGCTCCAGTAGAGTGAGTTACAGGCCACCTTCTTCCTGGATTCAACTGTTATAGTTCAGCTACCTATACATAATCATGATATCTAATGAATATTCAACTAAGAGGGTGGTTCTCAGTTATGCAACCTAGTCTTGCACATGCTTAGTTGGTCTCTTAGAGTATACTCATTGGTCAAATTCCACCACATACACCAAATGTATTTGAATATATTTGCTCTCTGGCACCTCCAGTGGAAGGTCATTTAAGGTGTAAACTCCTTTCTGCTAAGCATGGTTGGCCACCGAGATTACACAAGTCTGCCTCCTGTGGTCTCAATCTTCACATGCCTGTACGGAAAGTAGATGCTGCAAGCAACAGTAGGTCAGGACTCAGAAGAGGGCTGAGTCCTAGAGGAGTGGTTTGAGACACAGGGAAGTGGCCTGAAACCCGATCCCAGGGGCACTGTGTACCTCCTATCTCAAAAATATGTGTAAATACTTATACCTTAAATAATGTGAAGAGGAATGTTTCTCCCTTTTAGGCTGAAGAATCTGCAGATTACTCTTAGATTTTTAAAGATAAAATTATTTAAAACCAAATGAATTCATCTTCCTTTAAATTAAAATCTAAATAAAATTAGAAGCAGAATGATTGTTAACATTTTCAAGCATATATCTGTGGTATATACTTTCATTAATATCAGAAGAATAGAGTTTGGGACTTTAGATGACAGATAGCATTTATATCAGGATAACCCCTAAATATCTGGACCAGTAAGCCACACCCAAGAGCACTTCATACAGATAAACCCCATTGTGGATTTTGGTGAGATACAGTCTTTCCACCCACTTATGGCCTGGAATATAAGCATCTTCAGAACCAGAGGGCCAGGCCCGTATTGTGAGATGTTCACCCTCCCCCACAAAAGGTCATCCCAAAGTACCACCCTAGAAACACTGAGGTATGTGGTTTGAAAACCTTTATGCATACAGGTTTAAGTTAATTAGATTGCACTTTATTTTTTTTATTTATATTTTTTTGTAATCAAAATGTTTTTGTGTTCTCCGTGTAGCTTAAATCTTAGAGTTGGTATCTGGGAGTCAAATTCAGGGTGACTTTTACTGGATCGACAATTCTTATCCAAGTAGAAGGGCTTAGCTAAATGTAAAAGTAGATGAGAAGGCCCACTATTTGTGAATTTCATACTTATATATCCCTGATACAGACATTAGCTATTTGGCCATAATTTATATGTGTATATTTATATTTCATTCTTTGAGCAATTCAGGGGGAAAAATGTATTTCTAATAACATAGCATACAACTTTACAAATACTTAGTAACTGAAATATAAGTGTTACAGAATGTTCAGTAATTATTCTCTGATCACTTACATGATTTATTATCTCTAGTAATCTGAATGAGTAGGCAGCTGGATTGGATACAGTGTCTCCCATCCAGCTCATGTTTTTCAATACCTGTATGAGAATATTATCTTGTTAATATTATCTTCATAAACCCATTCTTTTCTCATCTGGCTTAAGAATCATCTTGCCCCTCCTCTTCAGTATAGGGTTTATCCATTTATTCTTATTTTAACATACCCTGTATTACCTGACACACAATAGGCACTTAGTAAATATTTGTTGAGTGAATGAACAGACTGATTTGTTGTTGCTGCTTTAAAAACCCTCCCCTGGAAGAAATAACTCACTCTAGCACTTAAAAAGAAAAACAGGCACACACACGTGACAAACACTGTTGCATTGTCAAATGATTCTTTACATTAGTAGCTGGATGGTTTTGAAGAATAATCTGCTACTGTTCATTATGTCTGCACCTGTACCTTCTCACCAGAGACAATTAGTTCCCCACAACTTTCACACAATTAATACAGTTCAAAACGTGCAGGTGTAAAACCCATTAGCAACCCTGAAAAGTGGTAAATAAGAATTTCAATGCAAAAGAAGGATTTTATACTTTGCTTTTCCTCTCTAGTAAATATACCCACATAATTGCACAGGCTTTCCCTCTCCTTATGTGCCAAGATGAGTTTCAGAATAGTTGCAAATTAGTATATATATTACATGCACAGGTTCAGCCAATGGGCCCCATTTTATAGAAAGCAACAAATAAGTTGTTGAAACAAAATAGATTATTACACATTTTGGAACTGTGTAAAAATATGCACCAGGTAGTTAAACCTAGCAGAGATTTTTTTTTTCTAAATTATAAGGAAATTATCTCTCCAAAATCTCTAGTAAATGTGTTGTATTGTCATTGCTGGGATAAAACCTTCCCAACTCCTTACTAACAACACAGTCCCTTCTGTGCTCCTAAATTATGATTCTGTTTTCTTACATGCCACATAATGATACAAACACATTCTGCTGAGGCCCAGAATAGGGTTTAATGGAGTGATTAGTGAGTGAATGATCTGCCCATGTGACAGCTGTGTGTAATGAGTCAGCAATCCCAGGCCAGTCCCTCAGGACAGATGTCGGGATCAGGAAATCACCACAGTATTTAGAATCCTTGTTATCCATTGCTACAGAAAAGCAAATAACTGCATGGGCTGGAGGCATTCATCTGCCCTTGGAGCCACTTCATCACATGGTCCCATTGGTTGAGGATAAGGATGAAAACACATTAATGGGGCAACTCAGGGGAGCAGCGGGCCCTGCTTGTGCAGGATTTGTTCTCAGTTAAAGTAAAATGCTTTCATTTCCAGGAGTAACCATCCAATACCTTTAAAATTCATCCCAAGAGAAGGACCAAAATCTTTTCAGAAAGTTGAATTGTGCCAGCATTTGACTGGTCTTTATTTCGTGTGTGTTTGCATGAGAACAGTCAGGTGAAATGACATTAACCTGAGTGTAGGGAGGCCAGGATTTCAGACTGTCCCTGATTTCTGGTTTCCGTGGGCTCTGTGAAGTAAGGATTCCTGAATGGTTGTCTTAATAAGTTCAGAGTCATCTGCTGGAGAAGCAAAGCACAAACAATTTACTTTTGAGGGCAGATGTGGGGATAATTAGTTTAAATATGAGCTGGAATCTACCAAATCCAACTTGAAATCTTCTGATAAGAATGTTATGGGGTTTTGTTATTGGGTACAAAAACTTTCCAAATTTTTATCAAGAATGTTTCTGGGGGCTGGCCTGTTAGCTCAGGTGGTTAAAGGATGGGGTTCAGATTCCCATACAGGCCAGCTACCAAAAACAAAACAAACAAAAAAAAGATGCTGTCGTGTAATATAATTTAAAAAGAAAATCTGTCAGTTTTAGCATAGGGAGTGTAAACATCTGTGCAGGTAAGTTCTGTTTTTACCTGTTTGTGATCTCTATTTGGGTGTTTGGATCCCCTAATGAATAACCTTTTCTAGCTAACTTTCTGTTACCTGGTGTGGCATATGTTGGTTATTATCTTCGAAGAGTGTGTGTGTGTGTGTGTGTGTGTGTGTGTGTGTCTGTATATATAAAATAGGGAATTCTCAGGCCACCTCCCCACTCCCACCCATGTTCCCAGGCCACCTCTACCAATTGTGCAGCCAGAGCAGATTCTGAAATGTAAGTCAGATCTAATCAGATTAATTTGCAATAGCAGAATCCCGTATTACAAAAACATAACAAACCTCATACTATCTCGGTTTGTCCCTTGAGTAATATATCTAAGGTGTACTTTTCATTCCTTCCTTTTTAACTTTGTGTATGTGTTTTTCTTCATTCATTCTCGTTGCCTCTCCCTCCCTTTATCTCTTTTCTTTCCTTTCTTCCAGTGCTCGCTTGCTCGCTCTCTCTCTCTCTCTCTGTCTATGGCTAGATCAGGTATCAAAGAAAGCAACAATCTAAGGATGTGTGTTTTAGGAGAGTATCATAGCTCCCAGGATCCATAGACTTTCCCTACCTAATACCTAAAATGGGTATAAATGACATTACTTTAATGGCTTGATTTTAAGAATTGCCAGGATCAATCCAATCCAAAAGTTTAGCATGTAGAAATTCTATTATTTTGTATCCAATAGCCTTCTGATGACATTTGATTACTTTTGAGTTAAAAAATGAAATTTATGACTAATGGAGATAAACACTGAGGATAAGGCATGTTTAGGAACCTGTTTGGAGGTCTGGGTACCTTAATCCCTGTATGTTTTTGAGCACTTTCCATGTTAACAGAAAAATGAGAAGTTTGAAGCCCGTCTCCGGTATCCCTTTCCTCTTCTACCCCAAAGAGGAGCCAGGCAGGTATTTAATTTCCTCTTGCTGCACAGACACGGATCTGGATCTAGAAGGGTATGAAAAGAGAGTGGCTGAGCTGTGTTCATTTGCATAAGCTCCTCACTGCCCAGTCAGCTGCACAGCTTTCAGCTGGAGCTGGGGCGCCTTTCTTGTAAGTGTGTCTGTTGTCAGGGCTCACACTACTGGTTACTCAGTGGGCTTCAAACATGTTCATGTGACAGCCTGCCTGGCTCAGAAAGTTATTGGTAATTTAGACTGAATCAGAACCTTAACAGCCAGCCACCTTTTTCGGGCTCCTTTTCTTCTACCTTTTCTTTATTCTCTCTCCTTTTTCTTCTCTTCAAGCTCTTCCTAAAGCAAAAATATCAGCACTATTGCAATAGAAATATACCCTCTGTTTCCATTCCTTTTGTCCTCTGGAGAGCAAAAATTTGGGAATCAGTTATGCCTTAAATGAGACAGACAGGTTTCACTGAGTTCAGTATGTGCCTAGAAAGTTCCACGTTCAGATACGTGTGGTTAATTTTATTGTTTTTCATTGAGACATGTTGATTGTACATATTTGTGGGGTACAGTGTTATATTTCATTACATGTATATAATGTGCAGTGATCAAATCAGGTATTTACCATATTCATCATTACAAAACTTAATCATTTCTTTGTGATGAGGACATTGTCCTTACACTCAGACACAGAGAGAAAAAGAAAATAATTCAGATGCTCCAAAATTATGCTTCCTTTCTGTATTATGTATGCAGGTAGATGTTGGCCACTTGTAACAGAGCCCTTGGGAATGGGGTAGGGTCATTCCTGAGTATTCCAAAGCAGACCTAAGTTGATGTTTTGTTCTGTGTGGAAACTCTGAGAAGTGTTTTCAGGAAAAAAAAAAAAATAGCTTTCAGAAACTTACATCTTAGGAAACCATTCAACCAGCAGCTAAGTTGGTCTAATGTTTATACTGACCTGAGTACTTTTACTCTAGTTATTATGTTAGCTGTTCCAAGAAGCCTTGAACCATCAAGATAGGGTTAGTCTTTACAAGTCACATTTTCTGTGAAGTGGCTATTGGGGACAATCTGTTGTCAGATAAATGCTTCTAAAGGAAGAATTACTGTTTAAATGGATGTGCCTTCACATGCTGTAGAAGCCCAAGCTCCTGCTAATTTAAGAATGGAACCCTCTAGTATTCTCTAAAGAAAGCAAAAAAGGAGTCTTTCAGGTTTATTTTAAATACATCTTTTTCGTATTTATTTAAAGGCGTCTTTTTCGTGAGGAAGCGGTAATAAAACTATGGAGAGTGAATGCTGTTTCATTATCCCTTTTATGGTCTATTAATTTGTTACCATCTATTCACCTTTGTTGATAAAATTTTAATTTTGCCCTTGCTCGAGCATATTGTAAGAATTGTATAAACTGCTGCTCCCTGTGCCGATAAAAAGGTCCTTTTAGAGTGAACAATTGGGAGCTCATTTTATTTCTAGAGCACATTTAAAATAACTTATGAATGAGAGTTGTCAGACATGAAATGCTGTATTAATTAAATCTTTTTCTAGTCTTTTTGCTTCTCCAGCTAAACCAACCCTTTAGAAAAATACACGGCCACCTTAATTATAGAGGAAAAGACAAAAAGTATCCTTCACATTCCTCTGCCTGAATAAGAATAAGAACTCAATTCATCTAAATAATAACCCCATTAGCTGCTTAACTCAACAGTGCACATGGGAAAATTTTCAAGCCACAATGTAAAAAGTGTTGATTGGGTGGATCATTTTCAAGGTTTTGTTCTTTTAATGTTCAAAATGATCATTTTAAGTAAATCTGGTATGTCATAACTGGTAGCTTTAGAGCATTTATGACTTAATGCAAAAGTTTCGTGTCCATATGAACTAATGCATCTTTGTTTTTTAATGTCTAGCAACAGTACCATTCAAAAATAGATGATTTGATTGACAACACTGTAAAAGAAATCATTTCACTGCTAGTTTCAAAGGTAATGTATTATTTATTCATCTTTTTAAGTCAGATTAAAAAAATAATTTTCAACTGAGAATTTTTAGAAATATCTGTCCTAATTGGAAAGTTGTAGTTTAAAAGCTAAAAGCGAGATAAGTTTGAATTTTGAGAAAAGTTGTGAACAAAAAAGACTATGAATGCTGTGTGACCAACTTTTGATTTTTTTGTTTATAGTGAATTTTGACTTTTCTTGCAATTGTTGTCCTTTTAAAAATAACTCTTTCTTCTGGTAATACTTTATGTCACATTCGTGTTCTCTTACTATTTGTTTTAACTCCAGGGTGGATTTGAGAAGTCATCAGTCCTTGAATTTAGCTGGTTTGTTGTGATGATAGCACCGGGCCTCTAGCTCTGGTCTCAGAGACAGAGAAAGCTGGTAGGGTGGGATCCAAGGTTCTCCACTCCCAGGAGTCTCCCAGGATGTCTTATTTGATGCTCAAAACATCTTTGACAAAAGCTATGCCTTTTAATTGTATAAGTACAGGTGAAGGATAAGCAGATGGGATCTCACTAAGGTGTAGCATAGTACCGTGGGTGGCATTGGAGATCAGGGGCTGTTAAATAAAAAGAACCTAATAGCACCATCCTAAAGAGGATGGGAAAGAGAAATGGATATGCTCTAAGTAGCACTTTCACATGAGCAGATCTATTCCTGCTCTCATAGGCACCATAAAAGAAACACAAATCAGTCTTCATAAAAAAAATTGGAAGAATGTACAAGAAGCAAAGGAAGATCCATCCCCAATTTAATAAACAGGCAAAGGACATACTGTTTAGAAAAGAAAAACAGAGGTGCCCCATAAACATAAAAGTTGTTAAGCCTCATTGGTAATTTAATGAACATAAAGTAAAACTATAATAATATACTATAATTTCTAGAAAATTAGCGTAGCTGTTTTTAAGCTAACACCTAGTTTTAGAAAAGGTGAAGTGAGACACTCACATTTCCTATATATGGGAGTATAAATTATTACAACCTTTCTGGAAGATAATTTGGGTATATATCAAGTACATTAATATCCTTTGATTTTTTTTTTGCATTTTTTTCAGCATTAGGGAGGTGCACAAAATATATATGTACATTGATATCTGTCACATTACATCTAATCAAAATTTTGGAACAACTTTAAACTCTAATATGAGGGAAATAGTAAAGCAAATTATGGGTCATCCATATTAAGCAACTATGCTTTCAAAGACTATTGGATAAATGAAAGGTTTATAATACAGTATTAAATGAAAAAAGCTGAATTTTTGAGTTGTAAAGTGTGATGTGAATTTGTAAGACTATTAGGACAAACACCAGAATGTTAACAGAGCTTTTCTCCGGGTGCTGGGATTATAGTTGATTTTTGATTTTGGTTTTTCCTTTGAATTTTTTCGTGCTTTCCAAATTGTCTGTTAGCAGATCTTGAGGTGAAAAACAACCACGAAGAAAGATGATTTTAGAATAGCACAACCTCACCAGTTTGTTCTTGTTTCCCTAATTTTACCACCACACCAAATACCTACACTTATCCATATGAGCGTACTTCAAAAAGTTCGTGGAAAAATGGAATTAAATGATAATACGAATCTTTCCGTGAACATCATACATTCACCAAAAAGTGGAAAGGGTGAAGGATAATAGGAAAACCATCTGGCAAGTGGGCGGAGAGGTGAACCACTGGAGAATCAGTTCCTTGAGGAAAAACAGTGAGATTTCCACCCTCCAAGGAGCCCACCCAGCACAGCAGTTGGCAGCACTGCACAGTTAACCCACTAAAGTGAAATAAAATTAACATTGTGCCTGCCTTCTCTGTGAGGCATCAGGGAATTCCTGTCCAGATATAAACTCCCCATCAGCACAGGAAAACTGTGTAAGTTGCCTTTTGTGAGAAGTTTGCATAATGGAAGTGATTCAATTGCATGCTATCATGCAGATGATATGGGGTTAGTTAGGCAGCAAGGGAAAAAGTCTAACTAGTATTTTGGAGGCAGGGGGTGAAGAAGAGGGGTTTCAGAGAAGGCAGGCAAAGCTGCATATCATCTCTGCATTCATTTCTGGCAAATAAAGAAACTCAAAATTTTGTATATCAAATACTTCTGGTTAATTGAAAAAAAAGTATATCAGAGTTAGGTAAGGAAAAGGTGTTCTAGAGATCAGTGCTATCCAATAGAAATTTCTGTGGTGATAAAAATGTTTATCCTGCAAGATCCAATACAGTAGCTACGAGCCACATGTGGCTGTGGAGCACTTGAAATGTGGCTGGTGTAACTGAGGAACTAAATTTTTAATTTAATTTAATTTTAATTAAAGTAGCCTCATGTAACTAGTGGCTATTATATTTGGAAATCAGGTCTAGATTATAATTTTCTCTTGCTGCCAAGTAGTACTTATTAATTATCTTTAATTATTTAGTTGAAAAGTATAAATTAATTTCATGTGTTGAACCAAATAAGCTTCCATAAGAGATAACAATAAATTATGTTTCTTAATTGATTTAAAATTAATCTTTATAATTATAATTTATTTTCAACCACTTTGAGATATGATTGACATACAAAAATGCATACATATCATATATACAATTTGATGAGTTTGGAGATAAGTATACACCCATTAGAGCACCACACAATCTATGCCATAAGCCTATTCATCACCTCCTGAAATTTCCTTCTTCCTTTTTAATTTATTATTTGGAAGTAGGACGGATAACAGCAGTTAACATAAGATTTACCCTTTTAGCAAAAAGTAATGTTTACTGTAGGCACTATACTTGTACAGTTGATCTCTAGGACATATTCTTGCATAACTGAAACTTTAGCCTCTGACAAATACCTTCCCATTTTCCTAACCCACAGACCCTGGCAACTACCATTCTACTCTCTTCTTCTTTTAATTTGACTGTTTTAGATTCCTTATATAATTGGTATCATGTAGTATTTGTCCTTCTGCATCTGGTTTATTTCACTGGGCATAAAGTACTCCAAGTTCACCTGTATTCTCACAAATGACAAGATTTTCTTCATTTTTAAGGCCAAATAATTCTGTTGTATGAGTATACCACATATTCATTTTCCATCAATGGACATTTAAGTTGCTTGCAAGACTTTACTATTGAAAATAATGCTGCAGTGAACATGGAAGTATAGATATCTCCTCGAGATGCTGATTTTAGTTCCTTTGGATATATACCCAGAATTGGGATTCTGGATCATTTGGTAGTACTATTTTAAATTTTTTGATGATCTTCCATACTGTTTTCCATACTGGCTACACCAATTTACATTCCTTTTTTCATTGTTCAACAGTATGCAGTGATTCCTTTTTCTCCACATCCTCACCAACACTTGTTATCATTTGTTTGTTTGATGATAGCCATCCTAACAACTGTGAGCTGATATATTATTGTGGTTTTGATTTCCATTTCCATGAAGATCAGTGATGTTGAACACATTTTGCTATAGCTGTTGGCCATGTGTATGTGTTCTTTTGAGTGTTTTGCCCATTTTTGACTTGGGTTGGTTTTTTTTGCTATTGAGTTTTAGGTGTTCCTTATATATTTTGGATCTTAACCCCTTAACAGATATATGGTTGGCAAAAATTTTCTGCTTTTCATTATGATTGCCTTTTCATTTTGTTGATTGTTTCCTTTGCTGTGCAGAAGCTTTTTAGTTTGAAGTAATTTCACTTGTCTATTTTTGCTTTTGTTACCTGTGCTCTTGGTGTCATATCCAAGAAATCATTGCCAGAGCCATTGTCAAGATATGTTAAGCCATTTCATCTATGTTTTCTTTGAGAAATTTCACAGTTTCAGGTCTTAGGTTTAAGTTTTTAATCTATTGTGAGTTAATTTTTGTGTATGGTGTGAGATAAGGGTCCAGTTTAATTCTTTTGCATGTGGATATCTACTTTTCTCATCACCATTTATTCAAGAGATTATCCTTTCTCCATTTGTGTATTACTGGCACCCTTATCAAAGATCAGCTGACCATATATGCATAGGTTTATTTCTGGGCTCTGTATTCTGTTCCAGTGGTCTATTTGTCTGCTTTTATAACACTGTCATCCTGTTTTAATTACTGTAGCTTTGTGATATATTTTTAAATCAGGATATATGATATCTCCAACTTCGTCTGTACTCAAAATTGCCTTGGTTATTTTGGGTCCTTTGTGGTTCCATATGAATGTTAGGATTGCATTTTCTATTGCTGTAGACAAAAAATGCCATTGGGATTTTGATAAGGATTTTACTGAATCTGTAGATCACTTTGGGTAGTGTGGACATTTTGACAATATTAATTCTTCCAGTCTGTGAACCTGGAATGTTTTTCTATTTATTTGTGTCCGCTTTAATTTTTCTCTTTGGTATTTTATAGTTTTCAGTGTATAAGTCTTTCACTTCCTTGGTTGATTCTACTACTAAATATTTTATTCTTTTTGATGCTATTGTAAATGGGATTGTTTTCTTAATTTCCTTTTCAAATTTCTCATTGTTACTGTATAAAAACATGAATGAGGTTTTTTTTACATTCTTCTTTGTAATTTTCTTTTTTTTTAATTTTAACTTATCAATATGCGTGTAGTTGATTTTCATGTCCCTTTACCAGTTCTTTTTTCTGCTGTCTCTCTCCCCTTCCTGATCAATGTCATATCTGTTCACTTGTCTTAACAAGTACAAAGAATTGTTGTCATTGTTGTGTCTTCCTCCCACCCCTGCCCCAGTGTTTATTTGTTTGTATATTTATCAATTTATTTATATTTAGCTCCCACAATTAAGTGAGAACATGTGGTGTTTCTCTTTCCGTGCTGACTTGTTTCACATAATATAATTTTCTCTAAGTCCATCCATGTTCCTGAGAATGGTAGTATTTCATTCCTTTTTATAGCAGAGTAGTATTCCATTGTGTAGATATACCACAGTTTCCTTATCCACTCGTGTGATGATGGACATTCAGGCTGGTTCCTGCTCTTGGCTTTTATAAATAGTGCTG